CCCCAAAACCCCAAAACCCCAAAACCCCAAAACCCCTAGGAGAGAATTATAGTTGACAAAATTATAGTTGATAAAATATGGGCAATTGAACGGCTTCTCAAGCCAATGATTCGTATGTTCCAGCTGGGAGGAAAAAGCCTCTCCTCAGTAAACCTGGAAAAAGAAAGAATAAGTAAGTCCACCTCAATGATATTTTTGGATTTAAATCATGTTGGCTAATATTTCATAGACTTTACACCAATACTAATGAAAAACAAGCCTTAAGAGATGAAGACAGCAATTCGTTTGGATCTTGTTCAGATTACAAATGTCAAGGTTCTTCTGGAGGCTCAGGCTGTTACCAGAAAATGAAGACTAACTCAAGTTCTTTTGCTGCTAATTCCTCAGAACAGAATTTTAAGAGATTTCGCTCGCTTGAGAGTACTTCTGGAGTTCAAGAACGATCCGTGAGTAAGAACCCAACCAAAGATCTCCTATCAGAGTGAATGAAGGACCATGAGAAGATCGATTACGACTACTGAAAGATGCTAATTTCTCAGTGATATTCTGAAAAATTACTAAAAGAAATTAGCCCGTACACACAAGAATCTGTTCTGCATTATTGCTGATATCGGGGCCATTTAGATTTAATTGAAGCTTTGTTGAAACGCCAACCGAAACTGGTAAAACTAAAAGACTTAAATTGTAACACAGCATTTCATTCGTTGTGTAAAAATATTACCAGCTCGGAACATGACTTAGGGGCTATCTTCCTAAAGCTCAAGAAATACAGGATAAATATTGCTTCTAAGAATGAAGATGGGAGGACAGGAATTGACCTCTTAATACAGAGGATCAGGCAGAAATAACCCATATGATGGAAATCTCCACAGTATCAGACTTTTGTATGGAAAAGTTCTGGATTCCATCCCTGTGGAGTATTACAACAGGATCAAGAGTAATAAGAACTTTATTACCAAGGAGAGACTTCTGGAGACAGATCTATCTGATATTAGCAGCATGAAGTCTATCAGTATTGCTACAACAGCAAAATAATAACATTTTTATAATGATTGTTTTTTCACAAATTTTATCAAGGCTGATCAGATAGCAGTTCAGTCTTTCTTCTGAGCACCGAAATAGTCATGCTAACACCCATAGCCAAGACTTAGGAAAGGTATATTTAAGGAAACAAGTTTAAATTTGGGTACAGAAATAATTCTTATTGAGCAATAATCTTAGCTATCTAATTTTAAATTTGACTCCCATTATTCGATACCAGCAGAGATATAGGACCTTTTAGATAATTTTGTCCACTCGTCCATCTATTATTCCTGTTGATATTTTCACTATATTTCTGGCTATCTGTCTTCAAAGGCTTTTCAGAAATAAGAGAATGTAAATCAGAGGTTGTACTAAATCTGTTTTAAAACCTCTTTTCGAGATGTAGTTTCCTTAGGTCCCAACTTCCCATACTTCCTACCTCCAAAATTTGTTCTGGCGGGGAGAATTTTTATATAAAGATATAAAACTTTCGAATCCACAAGACGTTCATTAGATTCTATTTTTTAACTTGATTCTGGGGTTTTGGGGTTTTGGGGTTTTGGGGTTTTGGG